GAGCGGCCGCACCGTTCTGCATATGGCCGCCGAAGAGGCCAACGTCGAGCTGCTGCGCCTCTTTCTGGATCAGTCCAACTACTTCTCGCTCATAAACGCCAAGGTGAGTGTGCGGTGCTGTGTCCAGCGCTGGTGTGACCTCTGACCTCTGACCTGTGCTCTGTGACCCGCAGGCGTTCAGCGGGAACACGGCTCTGCACATGGCCAGTGCTCTGCAGGGCCGGCGAGCTCAGCTGGACACGGTGCGACTGCTGCTGAGACGAGGAGCCGATCCCAGCGCCAGGAACCTGGAGAACGAGCAGCCGGCCCAGCTGGTGCCCCACGGGCCCCTGGGAGACCAGGTCAGAGAACCAGCGCTTCTGTGTCTCAAGCTCAGCTTCATCCATTCACTCGGCCGCCGCTCCAATCTAACATACTGTAGACGATAACACCGCTAGTTATTATTAACATTGCATCGTCCATATCTTTGAAAAAGAGCATATGAAACTGAATCGCTCTGCTAGCAAGTTCATTTCCTCATCCAAATGCATCTTAATGCAACAGATACCCAACATAAAAATAATATTACAATATTAAATCCATCGACACAAAATAGCTACGTTTACATGGACACTTTGTGCTTCCATCGGAATTAATTCATTCTGATTGACGAATCTGAGCGTAGTGTTTACATGAACACTAAATAAAGTTTATAAAGCGGAGAGTTCCGGTGCTTGATTCTGATTGGTTGAGCCGCGTTCGAAGCTGTTGTAAATGACTCTACAAAGTAACATACACCTTTGTTTACGTTTGTCTGTTGCTCGGCAACCACTTTGTTGCAACCTCAACTGTTTCTGAGGAACTACATTGTTTGGTGGAAGAATACTGTTTTTATTAATATCATTAAACTTTATTTGCTTCTTACTTTATAAAACAGTAAAAGTGCCCTTCCCGCGCACAAATCTCGTCGTCTGTGGATGAGAGTCTTAAACAAGGACTGCTGGGACGTTGTGCTGCTTTACTTCACAGACGCTGAGTGAAAGCAGAATTTTAGAATGACTCAGTAACTCATTTAGGACACGTTATTCACCAGAGCAGCTCTTTCCGCGCGTCATTACACTGTTTTTAGGTCACTGCACATGTGCAGTATTTTCCACTTTTCCATCCGATCAAGTGTTTGCATGTCCTCTCGCTCGGATTACAAAAGGAATAAAGCACCCCTTACAATCCGATCGAAATCTGAATCAGAGCTGGCCAATTCAGTCCGATTGACGAGGTTTTATTCAGATTGTGCTTCTAGTCCTATTACGATCGGATTGTTAGAGTCCATGTAAATGCAGCTAGTGATGTGAACGCTCTCCCGTAATGATGCACAAAGACTCTCTATTACAGCGCTGATCTGATTATAATAATACGTATATGTTAGATTAGTGCACTAGACTGTATTTTCATCATCGTGTGATTCCCAGCGTCAGGGTTAGGGTTCATCTGGACGCTGTCGCTAACCGGTCAGACCAGACGATGATGTTTGAGATTCCCTGAGCTGCAGCACTCACAGATTACTCTGAAGCGTTGGAGTCAGTGGAGGAGCGCTGGAGGACTGAATCACTGACCCATGTTTCTCTGCTCTTTCCTCAGGTGCGTGGGATCCTGAAAGGTAAAGGAGCGCAGTCCCGCTGGTGAGAATCGCTGTCAGTCAGGCAGCCGTCTGTGTACACATTCATTTGCCGCCGCAGGCAGATGTCGGTTGTTTCCATGAAACAGTCTTATTGTTCACTACTGAGTAGTAGACGGCACAGGAACGTGAGAGCAACGCTTCAGAGAAGCCTGCGGACATCAGAAGAGGAATCCAGTGCTATGAGGAAGCTAGGAGGGATTATTCAGAAAGCAATAATAAATGAGGAAGAAAGTGAATCTTCTTCTCTTGTTCGTTAGCAGATCTGAAGCGTTGCATTTGGCTCTGGTGTGTAAAAGGTTGACAACTATAATCTTTAAACAATCGAACTATATCTGTATTAATATTATTATTACTCTGCTGTGTGATTTGTCAGAAGGTTAAACATGAGATGATAATCAGTAACTTTAAACCTGTTGAACCAGAACGCCCTGATTGTTGACTTCAGGCGTGTTTCAGTGTGTTATTTTGGGACTTTCTTTCATTGATAATTAACTTTTATGAGGTCGTGCCATTCTCCAGAAGTCCTCTGATTATTCAGTTTGATTGTGACTGCTATTCTCAGAATCAACAGTAAAATCCACATAAAAATAGGCTTAAAGGTGTTTCTTTTTGATGAGGACAGAAAGAGATGGTGTTAGTGCATTATAATATATTACACGTATCTGCATGATATTGCTGATGTATTTTTGTGGTGATGGGATTAGTATATATTGTTATTCTTTCTCTCTTTATGTATGTACATATAACGTCATTCAGCTTTATTTTTCACTGTGCATCAGGAGCGGGTCGTTTGTGTTTCGTTTGATATTCTGTGAGTTTAATTGTGAGCTGTAATTCAGTCTTAAATAAAGATTCCTTGTTCTGTTCTCGTGAGAGCTTCAGCCGAGTGTCAGATTTCAGAAGAGTGTCAAAACAAAAGAGCAGAAATCTGATCCAGACCAGGAAATAATTCGGCTGAAACACAAGCGAACATCTTACAGGAATTCATGGGAACCGGAGGATCGCAGTAACAGTACTAAAGTGATTGCTCAGTGTTTATCTGGTGAAGTATTTGTCACGGCCGACTTCATCTGCTTCTCAATGTTGACTTTTCAATGCTTTTAAAGTCATCACAATGACAAAAACCCTCATTCATACACGACAGACCCACGGAAGCCACTCGAAACAGGTGTGAAAAGTATGTTTTATCAGAGGACAGCACGATTACTGTCACAATAAAAGAGAAACTAAACTCACAGACGGGAGATTTGCTCATATTCTGAGTCTGGTGAAACTAGAGGAGTTTTGGGAACCAGCAAAGGCCTTTATATCATCAGCTATAACCTCGACTTCTGAACTTCCCTGGATTTTTCCTGCGTCACAATCCAGAATCCTTGTGTTTTTCTGGTCTATAAAAATAATCAAAATAGAAACATGAAACCACAATATTCTCATAGTTTCATTAACCCGAGCCAGATTCTCATTCAGTGTTAGTGTTTACTTGCACATGCCTTCATTTCATAAGTAACCTCTTGTATGATTAAAACAAAACGCTAAAGGCAGGACAAAGATTATTCAAGTCAAGATCATCCGCTCTTAAAAGTTCAGTTTGTGTAAATGTGAAGACGTTCATTCTCTGTAACAGCAGTTTGCTTGGTCTGTGTTTCTTAAAGAATAATCAGTAATAATAATCAAGCCCAGATTCAATCTCTGAACGTCTGATTGCTCATTCACTTTTCTGAATATTCACATTGAGCAATGGCCAAAAACTGTTAATAAGAGTTAATAATGAATACAAATCAATCTCAGGACACGATCAAACCCAACCTTGTGAAGCTTTATTCATGCGCTTCATGTTTAATGTGTGCAGTGAAAACAATCTGTGATGCTACTGTATCTTAGAGCAGAGTTTTTAAAATTAATAACTTCCACAATATTGTTATTTTTGTTGTACATCAAATATAAACACATGCCAGATTATAATTTCTTGGTCAGGTTTGTGTTTCTTCTTCGGTGGATTTTCTGAAAGAGGCTCCACTTCTCCTCGAGTTTAGGTGAAGTGTAAACCGGTGCGTCTGCATGCTTGAGCTCAACCGTCTCTAAAGATCCTTCAACAATAGCCTTTGTGAGGTTTACAAGCTGGAGGCAGTTTGTGACATGACTTCACTTTATAGCTTTAGCTGGAGATTCAAGAACAACATGCTGAACTGACGAGCTAATCATCAACATTGTTAACAGAGCAGGACGATAAAAACAAACAGAAAGCTTTCTCTAATGCCTTTCTGATCACACTGACATTAAAACTTCATTTTTGTTGTTGGGTTCTTGTCACGGCTGATCTGGTTACAGAGAGTCTCATGGGAACTCCCACTTCCTGTTGCAGGTGCCTCACTTCCTGTCCCAGTCAGATCCCCGCACTGATGTTTATATAGCGTATTCCACTCGAACAGTCATGACACACTCAAAAACCAAACATCTGATCGTGTCACGAAGACATTTCGTCATTCTGTTGATGGTTTATTGTTTCGGTCAACTTCAGTACTACTGTCCAGAAAACACGCTGACCTTTGACCCGGCGGCGTGTGGTTACACAACAGCGCAACAGAAGCGTTGTTACTCCAGCTCATCTAATGTTAGGAGTCATTCGAGCATATCGCTGTTCACAACAACTTCCAGCTCTACAGAAATACATTCTGTAAATATGTAGAATTAACCAAACTGTAGGAGCATCAGAGAAAGACTGCAGAAGATGATCAGCTCGCTCTGGGTCGACAGCGGGAATATAAATGTGTTTAATACAGTGTTACAGTTAATCTGCATAAAGACACTCCTGGGTGGGAAATATATAACTTAGTGATTCATGATGAATGAAATGGGTTTGTCAAGAGCTTCAGGATTAACACTAGTTACAAACAGAGCCAATAAAGACTGTGTCAGACTGTCAGTGTTTATGATATATATATCTGACTAATAACGGGTCAGTTACTCTAGTGTTTGTCTTTCATTATAATGAACAAACACAGATACTGATGGAAGTCAAAGCTCTAGTTTCCACATTTGAGACTGTTCATCTAATCTAGAACATGAGTTAACCTTCATTAAATATTAATAATCTATAAATTATATCTGAGAGTCTCTGCTAAAGATAAACCTGTTATTCTATAAGCCTTCAGTGCGATTTGATTGAAATGCAGTTAAATAAAGTGAGATGTTGACTTGCTCTCCGTCTTCAAAAAAACTAAAAACGTAAAGGCCTTATAAAGTATTAGCAGACCTATTAAAACGCTTCTACTAAACTTTGCTCTCAAGCTGTTGCACTTTTCGCTGTTCTCTCGATAACTTTATCGTCTCTGCTCGAGTTCCGGTTTGTAATCACTGCAGCACGAGTGTCTCCCTCTGCTGTCGCGCAGTGTTACCGCAGCTGTCGCGCTGTTTTGCAGCAGTGTGGCATAAGCGCGCACGCTCTGCTTTCCGGCAGTGTGGCATTGCTGCTGGAGAAGATGTCTGAATCTCATGCTGAGGCGGGAAACGAGATGCCGAATAACAAAAAGCAGAAATTAAGCAGTGATGAAAACAGCAACCCCGATCTGTCAGGAGACGACAATGTAGGTTAATTATGCTCTGAATGTGTGTGTTTGTGCAGCTGCTCGTCAGTGAAGTTTCTCTTTGTCTCTTATCGCGTGTTTCTCTTCAGCGCTAAACTCTCCTCAGGGTCAGTCATCGTGATTTAATGCACATTTAATATGCTCTGTGTTATGTTATTACACACACATGTGACTGTGTGTTTGTCAAGAATAACGTCAGTCTCATCTGACGGCTTCAGTTAGTGTGGTTTCAGGTATTTATATTATATAGATGATGATGATGATGATGGTGATGAAGAACACCGACACTAATGATATGAAGCACGATCGGTTTCTGCGAAGAGGATTTTTGTGAATGCATTAGTTTCCCTTAATTAATGCATTAGTTTCTCATAACGCAGACCCAGAGCGTCTTGGCCAGGAGCAAGATAAAAAAACACATCTGCACCCAAATCTCCCTTTATTTAGAAAAGTTAAAAGTGGTAACGTGTCTGTCACACAGTGTCTGACGAAGGCTTTTGACCCGAAACGGTGCTTTTTAGAAAAGTTAAAAGTTGCCACCTTTAACTTTATAAATAAAGGGAGAATAACAGTGTGTAGATCTTTTTTGTATCATTTGATGCATTAGTTTCTGCCTCCATCATGTGATCAGTGTCTGTATTAAGTGTTTCTGTTCAAGTTAACTCAGTTGCGTGTTGATTATGTGATTAATCAGATGTTTCCATGTTGATTCCGTGATTAATCTAGGGCTGCCACTAACAACTATTTTTATTTCGATTAATCTAAACGATTAATGTCCCACAAAAAAATCAACAATTTTACTTAAGAATATTTTATTAAACTATATTTTATTAAACCAAATGAAATCCAAATATCTATGAAATCCTTTTTTTAAAGCAAAAGTAAAGTGCAACACAGAGTGCATCTCAGAGTCCAAACCACTGAAATAAAAAAAAGTGACGTGACGTGTGGCCAAGTATGGTGACCCATACTAGGAATTAGTGCTCTGCATTTACCCATCCAAAGTGCACACACACAGCAGTGAACACACACACGAGAGCGCTGTACATTCACTCCCCCCACCTACAATCCCTGCCGGTACGAGACTCGAACCCACAACCTTTGGGTTACGAGTCCGACTCTCTAACCATTAGGCCACGACTTCGGGGGTTTAGAGTTCAGTATTATAGTGTAGGAATGACAACATCTCCATGTGTTCTAGCCTACTGCAAAAAACACTTTTTAAAGGAGTATTTACCAGAAATGTTATTTACCAAAAGTTATAGGGTAGTTATTAAGGAATTTGTTTTGAATTTGTTCCCTCTAGAAGATACTGAATATTTTCAGGTGAAATCATGATTTAAACAGGTACAACACTTATTCACACGCAATCGCTCTCTCAATAATGCATTCAAACAAATGTAATCTTATACAGTGCTACTTCATCTGCATCCGATTTCGAATGAGCAGAAATCTGTAAGAAATGCAGCGATCCGTAGGTAACATAACTGACGAAAATGTACTGTTATTTTCATCACAAACAAAAGTTGCACTGCAAAAAGCATCAATAGCCTACCTTTTAATGCTGACAACCATGTTATTAGCTTGTCATGTGGTAGGAAAAAAGTTTGCACACTAGTGTTCCAATAATCCACTTTGAAACGCTCCTGTCATTTTATTTATATTATTATTTTTTTTAATATACGTTATGAACAGAACTGTGATATTTCAAGCATACTGAAATACTTTAGCCGCGGAGCGGTGTTTCTGATATCAGTGAGCGAGGAGTGGAGCGGAGTGATTATTAAATGCGCGGAGGGGAAATTGTTGCCGCTCCACTCCGATCACATCTCACACGCTCACACACTCACTCACTCACTCTCACACACTCACACACTCACGCTCACACACTCACTCACTCTCACACACACTCACTCACTCACTCTCACACGCTCACACACTCACTCACTCACTCTCACACGCTCACACACTCACTCACTCACTCTCACACGCTCACACACTCACTCACTCACTCTCACACGCTCACACACTCACTCACTCACTCTCACACGCTCACACACTCACTCACTCACTCTCACACGCTCACACACTCACTCACTCACTCTCACACGCTCACACACTCACTCACTCACTCTCACACGCTCACACACTCACTCACTCACTCTCACACGCTCACACACTCACTCACTCACTCTCACACGCTCACACACTCACTCACTCACTCTCACACGCTCACACACTCACTCACTCACTCTCACACGCTCACACACTCACTCACTCACTCTCACACGCTCACACACTCACTCACTCACTCTCACACGCTCACACACTCACTCACTCACTCTCACACGCTCACACACTCACTCACTCACTCTCACACGCTCACACACTCACTCACTCACTCTCACACGCTCACACACTCACTCACTCACTCTCACACGCTCACACACTCACTCACTCACTCTCACACGCTCACACACTCACTCACTCACTCTCACACGCTCACACACTCACTCACTCACTCTCACACGCTCACACACTCACTCACTCACTCTCACACGCTCACACACTCACTCACTCACTCTCACACGCTCACACACTCACTCACTCACTCTCACACGCTCACACACTCACTCACTCACTCTCACACGCTCACACACTCACTCACTCACTCTCACACGCTCACACACTCACTCACTCACTCTCACACGCTCACACACTCACTCACTCACTCTCACACGCTCACACACTCACTCACTCACTCTCACACGCTCACACACTCACTCACTCACTCTCACACGCTCACACACTCACTCACTCACTCTCACACACTCACGCTCACACACACACTCACACTCACTCACTCTCACGCGCTCACACACACTCACACACTCACGCTCACACACACACTCACTCTCTCACTCACTCACTCTCACACACACTCACTCTTACACGCTCTCACACACTCTCACACGCTCACACACACTCACTCACTCTCACACACACTCACTCTCACACGCTCACACACACACTCGCTCACACACACTCACTCACTCACTCACTCTCACACACACTCACTCTCACTCACTCTCACACACACTCACTCTCACACGCTCACACACATTCACTCACTCTCACACACACTCATTCTCACACACTCACACACACACTCACTCTCACACACACTCATTCACTCTCACACACACTCACTCACTCTCACACACACTCACGCTCAAGTCAAGTCAAGTTTATTTGTACAGCGCTTTTCACGATACAAATCATTGCAAAGCAACTTTACAGCAAATTAAGTTTCTACAATATTTAGTGGTAGCTTATCAGTGGTGACTGTCAATTAATGTACATATGGCAGAAATGTACGGAAAAATCAATTTAAGACGTAATAAAAAAGACGATGAACACTATTAACAGCAATTATAAAATAATTAAATGTGCAAAATAGCAAAATGTGGTAGTTCTGTATCTTGTTTCAGGGTTGGCATCATCTGAAGTCCTCTGAGGGGTTGGCATCATCTCTTCTCAGGTGTTCTAGATCCAGACTGAAGCTTGTGTAAATCCCCGTGGCAAAAACAGAGAAACAAATAGAGACATAATTAGCGTAGCTGCTGTTCCAACCAAGCAAAATTGATTTGTTTAACCCAAACTAAAGAATAATAATAATGTGCAACAGTGAGTGAGACAAAAATAATATACTCTGGTATCAAAACTCCATCTTTATCTAAATATAAAATGATAAGATATCATTTTATAAAACTATAAAATTTAAAATAAAAAGCAGCATTTTGAAGACTATTTATGTTCTATTTAATGTGGTAATAGCAAATCATTTTTATGGTATTTTGTGAATAAACAATGGCAAAACAAAAAACATCTGCCGTTATATTAAATAATGGAATGCTAATTTGAAAACAATGAATTGAATAAATTATATATCTTCCATTCTGTGCCATAGCCAATCAAGGATTACTTGAAAGGATTGTTCACCAAAAAATTACTGTCATCTACTCACCACATACTTTTTTCATACACTATCATATACCTTCAGAAGACGTGAAATATACTCTTTTTGGAGCTTGACAAGACCATGGTAAACATAAACTGTCATTGTATGGAAAAGCAGTCTGGACGTTCTGCTAAACATTCTTTTGTGTTTACCTGAAGGAAAAAAAATCATACTTGGTTTGACTGACATGGAGAGAGGAAGACAGAACTATTGTGAACTATTGTGTAAATAATTTCTTTAAATAATAAAGTCATTTTCTTTTCTTGGTTGCACAGTTAAGTAGAAATTAAAAGTTTATTTCAACACCATGGTCATTTTAAATATCGTCATATGCCATAAACAAATTACCTACAGTAAGACATTGCAAAAATACAAAAATAATGTAATTTACTCAGTGAAATTTAAATGCTTGGCTAAAGCTGTAATCTCAAAAGAGAATTCTATGTAAATAATCCTAAAGCATGCACAATCTCATGTACAAATAATATAAATATTTACATACATTCAACATGAATGCAATCTTACTCTTGGTTAAAATTAAAGCGCAATGAACTGGTGTTATGTTGTTTTGAAAAACGTCCCCAATCCAGACATTTTTAGACTGGAAAAATCTTTGTTTTGAACATTGTTTATAGATTTACAGGAATATAATTTTAGTATACCATACCTTGCCCAAAGGGGCTTTAACAAAACTAATTCACACACACTCACTCACTCACTCTCACACACTCGTGTCTCTGCAGATTCCCTCATGTTGGGTGTGTCTTGTTCCTGCAGGTCACTCTATATGAGTGTCACTCTCAAGGAGAGATCCGTCTGCTGCAGTCGTATGTAGATGCTGACGTATCCTTTCAGACACAGAATAAAATCATCAGACAGCTGTGTTTTATCTTGAAGTATCTGAGGTTTTTCTGCAGATTTGGGCCGGTGTATTTTGTTATTCCCTTGATTCTTGCGCTGTCTAGGCAGATGAAAACTTCTACACTTGCGCTTGGACCTTTGACTCGAGCACCAGTCACCCGCTGCTGGCCGTGGCCGGATCTCGCGGCATCATCCGCGTCATCAACCACATCACCATGCAGTGCGTCAAAGTGAGTCCAGACGCTCGGCCCAACTGACCTGCATTAGTGCGTCTGCTGCTCCTCTAACTGTGTTTACACTCATGTCTTTGTGTGTTTACACTCATGTCTTTGTGTGTCTACATTTATGTCTTTGTGTGTTTACGCTGATTTTTTTGTGTGTTTCCTCTGATTTCTTCGTGTGTCTACACTCTGCAGCATTATGTCGGCCATGGAAATGCGATCAACGAGCTCAAATTTCACCCGAGGGACCCGAACCTTTTGCTGTCGGTCAGTAAAGGTAAAGAGCGCAGATGTTGCGGCGCGCTGTGCGTTCGGAGCAGGTTGTTGATGGTTTGCCGTGTGTTTGTCAGATCACGCGCTGCGGCTCTGGAACGTTCAGACAGACACTCTGGTGGCCATCTTCGGAGGCGTCGAGGGCCATCGCGACGAGGTCTTGAGCGCGGTGAGTGTATCGTGGCTGGTGTTGATCAGATTTGCTTCTGTCAGTCTGCAGTATGATCGTAATCACTGCAGCGTTTCTGTATATATGTATTATATTTTCGCCTGGCTCCGCTGTTGTACTATTCTTTGAAAGGACTCGGAGTAATTGCCCTCTAAAAACTATCAGGAAACAGCAGTGAGAAGAAGTAGCAAACTTTGCGTCTCGCGTAGAGTTGATGAATGAAAGAATGAATTTCTTTATGTATAAACTTATTAGGTTGTGTTCATTTGGAGGACACCCGTGAAAATGTCTGTTTTAGTACACCTCACCATACCTGCACTACAAAAGAACCAAAGTATCATGTAAAGCTTGAGTTTATTTGTGCTGTTAGAACAAAATACTGTACATGAGTATAATATGTATGAAAGTAATAAAACTAAACTGAACAACAATAAAATATTTTTTTTCCTCATTAATCATTTCATTAATCAGGGACCTTTAATTTCACTATAAAATCTCATTTCTATTGTAGGCTCATTTTGTAAATGTAATCTATAGACAAGCGCAAACTGTGTGCTTAATGCAAATGTTATTGGACACATTTAAGAGATCAGGTGATTATGTTCGTCCATCTATGCAAATATATCTCTGTATCGAGACAAAAGAATGAGGTTAATCGCTGTCTGTCACCGTCGTGATCGAGTATATTTGCGAAGACTGGTGAAGGTAGGCTACACCACCCAAAAACATATAATACTTGTGCTTTTATTTCTCATCAAACAGTTTATAGGCCTACAGAACAACATTAAGCAAATATTGTCAAATCCTATCTAAAGAAATCCTGTTTAAATACAATAAAAATAAAACACACTTCACTTAAAAAGCCTTGAACTTCGTGAGTACAGAAACAGTGCATCGTGACGTTAGTCATTGTGTCACTAAATGCTTCTGTTGTGTTTGCAGGATTTTGACCTGCTTGGTGAGAAGATCATGTCCTGTGGGATGGATCACTCCTTGAAGCTGTGGAGGATCGACTCTGAGCGGATGCAGAAAGCCATCCGCGGTTCGTACGAGTATAACCCCAGCAAAACCAACCGGTGAGTCTCGTCTCTCCTCCAGCGCTCGTCCTCTGCTTCAGCAGTGCATTCAGCCCTCTTCCCTACCTGCGTTCTCAGGCCTTTCGTGTCTCAGAAGATTCACTTCCCAGACTTTTCCACACGAGACATTCACAGGAACTACGTGGACTGCGTCCGCTGGCTCGGAGATTTGATTCTTTCAAAGGTACTTTCTGCAGCACGAGAAGCCGGTGACATGCATTTTAATATGTGACCCTGGAGCACAAAACCAGTCAAAAGGGTCAATTGAGCAGTTTATGCATGATCTGGAAGCTGAATAAATAAGCTTTCCATTGATGTATGGTTTGTTAGGATATTATTAGTTCCTCGGTAATCATTTGCTGTGTGTTGTTTTGTAGTCATGTGAAAATGCCATTGTGTGTTGGAAACCTGGGAAGATGGAAGACGACATCGACCGCATCAAACCCAACGAGTCTAACGTGACGATTCTGGGCCGCTTCGATTACAGTCAGTGTGACATTTGGTACATGCGCTTCTCCATGGACTTCTGGCAGAAGGTTTGAGGTTCTTGACAGACTTGTGAACTGAAAGTGACTGACAGTAGGGTTAGTGAGAACGTCTGACGATGAATGAAGAGTGTGTATCTTCACCTCCGCAGATGCTAGCTCTTGGAAATCAGGTCGGGAAGCTGTACGTTTGGGACCTGGAAGTGGAGGATCCTCATAAAGCAAAGTAAGATTCCTGGTTTGAGCTGTCCACAGCACTGTATTAGTGCTGTACTTGAGCTCTGCTTGTGTTGTGCTCAGGTGTACGACGCTCACGCTCCCCAGATGCACGTCTGCGATCAGACAGACCAGCTTCAGTCGGGACAGCAGTATTCTGATCGCTGTGTGTGACGACGCCTCGATCTGGCGCTGGGACCGGCTGCGCTGAGTCTCCTGACGCTCACTGCTCGAATCATCGATCGCCGAGTTCTGCTGTCTTTGCTTTTCACTTTTGCTTTTTTCTTTGCCTTTCTCTTGTCTGACTTCAATAAAATCTATTTTTATAACCCTATATTCCTTGCTCAGTTTTTCTAGCCCATTTAAATTGTTGTGAAATTTTTATTTACTTTAACCAGGAAGGTCCTGCTGAGATACAAGAGGGAGTCCTGGTGAAGATTCAGAGAAACACACATCACCACACAACGAACAAACACAAAACACAATTGTCTAAAAACAATACAAATCCTAGTCAGTTATTAAAACCTGTACACTCTTCTATATAAACAGACTTTAAACTATTTTTAAACAGCGAGAGATGGGACAGATTCCAGATGAGGCTCGTTCCGTACACGGAGCATAATTATAATAAACAGATGGACCTAACTGAAAAATCGGCATCTTAAGTAAGAGTTGATCTGGTATTAAATATTTGTGCAGTATGACAAACTAGATATATACTGTGGTAATTTACCCACCAAAGCTTTTAAAATAAAAATTAACATTTGTTTTTTCTCAAGCAAATTGTTCATTTAACCCAACACTTTTTATACACTAATAGTGATCAACAGTGAACAAGTATTCACTAATTCACCTGATTTCTTGAATTAAACCGGGAACATTTCTCAGACAAAAACTATTAGCCATTAGCTTTACTACTAATCAAAACTTTTTTATCTAATGTGCATTGACCTACAGGTAAATGCACATTAGATCATTTTAAATTGAGATTTGAGTAATTTTGATTACTGCATGACTAATGCAAAAAAGACATGACTGATAACATGAAGCTGATATATTTAGAGGTAGTTAAATTGGGCTCTTCTGCCGTTTTTCCTCCTATTCCTGTGCTTTTGAATGTACTAGTGTGATGATATTTGTAGTATTTGTGTTAAAGCTGTTCTAGATGATTTATGTTAAACATTGTGCATATAAAATATTGCGTTATAATATATTTACGAAATCACACTTCGTTCGTTCTGGTGTTTTTGGACGCACGCGCCGCGCCGGATCGACCAATCAGCGAAGCGCGCTGTGTTTTGTTTCCGGGTCAGAGGTCGCGTCTATCAGCTGCTTATGGAAGTTTCTAGCAGTATCCTGTGAGGAGATGGTTCTGTTGCTATCTGCGGTCGAGTGTGTTTCCTCGAATGTGTTCCTGCAGTAATCGTGGTGATGTTCGGATGTTTAGTCGCCGGCAGACTGGTGAGTGGATTCATATTCAGTAGCATTAACTTAACTAACCCACCTTAACTAGCCTGATCACTAGCTGTTAGCCAAGGGCTAATGAGCCATTTTCTGATTCAAATTAGACCGATCTACGTCTTATTTAACCGGCTTCACATAGTTATGGCCAGTCTTGAAGAAATTAGACGACTAACCTGTAAGACTAGTCTAAGTCTTTTATGCAACGAGATACGAGAACACCAATAACCTGATTAGCCCAGTGCGATTCTTCCATTCAGTCTGTTTACTGATGATTCGAGGTGTAAGAGTGAACTGAGATCAGACTCGCAGTCTCTCGGTGTTTGTCTCTGATCTGTTTATCTGTGTTCATCATTGTTTATCTGTATTTATCAGTTTATTTGGGTTTATCTGTGTTTATCAGTTTATTTATGTTTATCAGTTTATTTGTGTTTATCAGTGTTCATCTGTGTTTATCTGTATTTATCCGTTTATTTGGGTTTATCTGTGTTTATCAGTTTTGTATTTATCAGTTTATTTGGGTTTATCTGTGTTTATCTGCTCTCTCAGGTCCAGACGGACGCGCAGCAGGTCGCCTCTGATAAGTTCGTCTTTAATCTGCTGGACTATGAGAAGGTCAATCATGTGGTGGTGTTCATGCTGGGCACGGTGCCCTTCCCAGTGGGCATGGGTGGTGCTGTCTACTTCTCTTTCCCAGACCCTGCTGTCGGACAGGTGTGGCAGCTTTTAGGCTTCATTACCAATGAGAAACCCAGTGCCATATTCAGAATCTCTGGTCTGGAAGCTGGTAAGCAAGTCGAGTGAAATCAGTTCTATAAAGGCTGGAAAACACTACATGACTTTTACAATCACAACATATACAACCCTCTACATTGCGAGTAAATCACTCGCATATGCGACTAAATCTTCACTCTGGGCGACTAAATGATGTCTAATATTTACTCGCCAGTGTGTGAGTTGGAGGCTGAGTATATGATTAGCACAGATATATTTTCACTCACAGAACACTCTGACTGAGCGCTTCAGAGTTTCACTCTCCGCCAAGCGATCTGTGCTGTTTTTCAGTTCATCTGAATGGATGTGCAACGCACCTGTATTTAACGTAC